TTCCAGAACGGAGTCGTCTCAGGACATGTGGCATCAAGTCACAGAAAGCCAGTCCGATTTACTTAAGCAAAGACAGGCTTTATTGAAAGCATATGAGGCACAATGTAGACCCAAAGGGCCCGGGGTGTGGCGAGGCTCCAGATGCGGGGACTTGCAAAGCAGCTTATCTCTGTCGCTTTCTGCCGGGCTGTCTCCTCTGTGACCTTGGGCTTCGTGATTCATGCACACCGGCTTGCAGCCCAGCTTTCTCTGTGCACACAGTTGCCCTGCAGCTTCCACAGCGATCGCACCCATTTCAAGTAGTCAGTCCAGAATAATCACCCAAGGGCGATTGTCACCCAAGGTCGCAGGACCTGCTTTGGGAAACGATGCCTAAGCAAGAACCCTTCCGTCCCACAGAGAACAGGGTTTGGCTTCCCGCTGTATCCCAGAGCCTCAGCCAGTGCCTGGCTTCTAACAGGAGCTCAGTAAGGATCGGAGGATTGGATGGATCCGACCGGCTCAGCCACACACACAGCCCGCAGTGCTGTACCCTCCAGCTGCGGTCAAGCTTAAGTACAGTCTTCTGCCTTAATCACCTGCCTGTGGCTCGCCCCTGCCAGACCGTCAGCCGTCTGAGGAAAGTGAAAACCAGAATGGAGGGCAGGTGCAGCATGGAGTGTCAGCTGTGGTCCAGGCCCCGTCTTCAAGGATTGCAGTTAAATTCAGGGTCATAGAAAAATGTATGAGAAGACGCAGTATCTATAATGGAACCAAAGGACAGAAGTACAGCAGGGGTTTCCCCAGGACTGTGACAGCTGGCCCATCATGATGGCCCCCAAATGGCCACCTGATCCTTGACGCCACTTTACCCAACTGACTCTCCACTTTGCCTCCCTCCCTCCTTTCTTTCCTCCCTTTCACTTTTCTTATAGTCCAAATTGTATTCCACAGGCAGAGAACCCCGAGGATGATAATGATGGGGCTGAAATAATAACAAAAGAATATGAATGAGCGTGTACCAGGGAATTCTGAGGGTGGCCCTGTGCTGTAACAAGTGGTTTTAACCTCATATTGCAGATAACCAACTCACTTCTCCAAGTCCTGCACGCTCAGGACTCCAACCTGTGGCTAATGTTTCTAGCTAACATTCTCTCTGCCTTCATTTTAGAAAGAAGTGACCCTGTGCTCTCTATTGTATATACCAAACCCCTGTTATATGTCCTCTGAGTAACCTGAATAAGTTTCTACCTGATTTATCTTGTATTTCCACACATATAAGTCTTACTGAACCCCAGAGAGGGTCCAGCCTAAGTCCAGTCACTCACTTCACAGAGCCAATTTTGAGAAAATGAGATTGCTAAGGAAGAAAGGAATTTTAATGTGAAAGACGTCCCTGTATCCAACTAACAAGGCTTTGACAGTGGGTTGTGGAAATGCAGGTCAGAATGCGTGGGGTTTGAAGCCATGGGGCAATGATTTTCAACTGGTGATCCTGTCTTGCGAGCATCTTAGGTGTGCTGCAAAAAATTTTTAAAGATCATTAATAGGCTCAGCACCTGTAGTTCAGCGGCCAGGGCGTGGGCTGCATCCACTGGGGCTGGCAGGTTCGAACCTGGCCCGAGCCTGCCAAACAACAATGACAACTACAACAACAAAAAAGCCAGGCGTTGTGGCGGGCGCCTGTAGTCCCGGCTACTTGGGAGGCTGAGGCAAGAGAATTGCTTAAGCCCAAGAGTTTGAGGTTGCTAT